GGGGGGGGATATCCTGGAGGGGTATACTGGGGAGTGGCAATGATAAAATTAACTCGTACATAACATAAAGGTTTATAGTTTTTGTGTGAATTTATTTGTTTATTTTCTAGTGGAATGGGTAAAATCAAAGTTGAGATTACTTCGGAACAGTTACACAAAAGCTAAAAGGGCCCCACCTAGTGGGTCTTCTAGGAAAAACCAGACAAATAGAACCGTTTGGATCTTGGAAAAACTTCAGTTTTTAGCTCCCCACATTGCTGAACGCTCATCAGTGTCAAACATAGATACAGTAAGTAATTTAGTTATCTCTTTATTGAGCAGCTACAGTAGATTTAATTAATTTTTTACAGACTGATTATGCTATCTTGCCATGGAACACACCCAAGTTCAGAGTTAAAGTATTCAGTCAGCTTTTGTCTTTGTTCCTTTGCATTCAATTTTGGGTTTCTACCCAAGTTTGGCTGCAATCCTATTAAAGGTCGATCATTCCTCCAGGCTCCATTTGTGAATCTCCTTGTATGAATATCTTCCACATCACATGCACTTAAGTATGCATGTTTGTTATTTTCAATCATGAAGTTGTGTAGACAGCAAGCTGCCAGAATGAGGTCTTGCACTTTTTCTGGACTAAGGTTTATTGTTGTTAGAAATACACGAAATCTATTCGCAAGAATTCCGAAGGCGTTTTCGACCACCCGTCTAGCCCTGGATAGGCGGTAATTGAAAATTCTCTTTGGCTTATCCAAATTTCTGTGCGGATAGGGTTTCATCATTTTCAAGGAAAGTGCAAATGCATCATCGCCTACAATATGATAATGTATTTTGTGGTCTGGTATCCCCTTGATTGATTCTGGTGGTGGTAAATTGAGAGAATTGACACCCAAGGCCATCTTCAAATCCGAATCTATATATATATACCAGCATCACCTGCACGACCTGAAGCCCCAACGTCTATATAGATAAATTTATAGTTAGCACTAACAAGAGCCATAAGCACTATGCTGAAGAAATGCTTATAGTTAAAATACTCGGAACCACTATCCTCTGGTTGTTGGATGGCAATGTGTTTCCCATCCAAAGCCCCGATACAGCAGGGATAATTCCACTTGTAGAAAAAGTCATCAGCTATGGATTTCCATTCTGCTTCTGAAGTTGGAACCTGAAAATCAATAATAATAAAATGTTTTTGTATATTGTAATTTTAGCCATCACCAACTCCAACAACAGACAGTGACACACCTGTTGATCCACTTTTGGACAATAGTGAACTGGAGGATAGCATCACTTTAGTAGAGGAAGATGAAAATGAAAAAGGGGATTTGGCCAACTCAACCAAACGACCTACTGCTACTCGCCCAAAATCCATCAAACAGAAACGTGATGAAGAGGAATATCAGCTAATGAAAGGATTAGCATCTTCAATTAGCACAAGATACAAAAAACAAAATCAAGCTAAACAAGACAGTGCAGTTGATGCATTTGGTGTTTATGTCACCAAAACATTGTCAGAACTCAATCCGTCAATGAGAAATATGGCTCAATTTCAAATCCATAATATTCTTTTCCAAGCCCAAATGGGTACCATAAGCCCAAGTCAACATCAGACACAAACACACACTCATCAACCTATGCCACCAGTAACACAACAACAAATGTTTGCACAGCAGCAGCAATTTTATTCACCTCATGCTGAGTGGGCAAGTCAGCAGCAGCCACTAATTCACACAGGAAACTCTCAAATGCAGGGGGACTACACCACTGAAAACCCAGAGCGAATGTTCTAGTGAACTATTGTTATTTGTTAAGTCAGTTGTTGCATTTAAGTTATAGTTACAATCAAGTTTTACATTTACGTAAAAGTTATGTAGAAGTTTTGAAGTAACAGTAAAAAAAAGAAAGTAAGAAATGACATATATTATAAAGTACTTGAGATTATTGAGATTAATTTATATTATGATATATAACATTAACAATTCTTTACTGTTTGTTGCATTTTTGCCCCAATGGCTTCATTTTGATGTTTGTCTGTGATTATGACAGGTGCACATGAAAGTTATTTCTCCACAAATGTGTTTCTCTTTGATCTTGAGCTCAATTACAGGCCTATTCTAAAACCTATTGTGCACGAAACATGGGAAAATAATCACATTAAAATGAGGCCATGGGGCAAGAGTGCAATAAAATGTACAGTCTATTGATTTGCTGTTTATGTGTTGCAACATGTTATAACATACTTTGTGTTGGGCCAAGTAAATGTTTATTGTGTTACAAAAAACTGTACTCTGTGGTTATATATGCCCTGTTAGTAAGTTAACCATCTATTACCTAAACTATTTTTGATATTTTTAAATGAAGTACCTTCATATACTGTTGTTTCATTGTATTGAATGATGCTTGGCAGGTCTCTTGAACAATATTTGAGACTGTTCTTTTACCCATCCTGAACTGGAAGGAGAGGCTTCGAAATGTTTCTCCTCAAAGGGGGAAAAATGTGAGGAGTTAAATAGAGATGAGTTCTATCCTTCACTTAGGTCAATGGAACTGACGTTTCAGTTTATCATAACAATGGTTCAAATATTTGATCATTATTCACTTTTTATGATTATTTTATGATTGATTATGCCACGGCTGAAATAAATCTAAAGTGGTATGGATTCGTCATAATATTAATTGTGCGGTGTGCTGTGAATGAATATGGTGGTAGCCTCACAGCGTTTCATTTTGGTGAAAGCGAAAGTGTGGCTGAATCATGTGTTGAATCCTTTGGTAGCTTCACACTAGTTCATGTTGTGAGATGCATACCCAAACCTACATAGAAGTTGTGTTGTTATGAAAGGTAGACCTTTCAGAAAAAATTCAAAACAGGTTTCATTTGCATGAAGCATCAATTGGATGTTCACAATGCAATCTTGTGACTATTTAAAGCAATTTCATTGGTCTAAATGAAACCTTCATGTGTATAATCTATGATTTTGGTCCCAAGATTGTTGGGGTTGGCTGGGAGCTGCTGGGGGATATCTGGGTATCTAATGAGTAATGGAATTTCTACACAAAATCTTTCTTTAAATATACTTTTTGGAATTATCAAGAGTAAATTCAACAATAATGGGAAACAAATGCGCGGGTGACACTATTAAAACTTAAACCTCAGTTCCAATGGCCTCAATTCAAATATTAAAAATTGAGAAATAGCAACTTAATAAACTTACCAGTGGCCAGGAATCTGAGCGTAACAGAAAGTCTTTCTCCGGGACTTATGCTTTCCCGCATATTGGTATTTTGTTTGACAATACGCGGGCCCACCAACGCTAGGATATTCTCAAACGATTCTCGATCAAGTCTGTGGAATTGTCTAAAGCATTCTGGATCTTCAGCGTTCAACTCTCGCAAAAGGTTTGCATATGCGCCTTGTCCTGTTCTTCTCATAATCCACCTCTTGGTCCACAACTTTCAACATCGTGCTTTGTAACGGCGACGTCTACATCTTCTTATCAGAATCAGCAAAAGTATTTCTTCTTCGTCGTCACAAATGTCCGCCTCACCAGATGCCGCCATCTTTATTTTGATCATGTGACAAAAAAATGCGCTGCTAGTGGCTATTTATTTTGCTTGAGCTCAGCATCTAGCTCACGTCCAGCGCAAACGGCGCGATTTTCGCCTCGCGAGTCGAAAAATATCAAACATGTTCGATTTTCAGCTCAAGGTTGCATGTGTCCAAAAACTCAGTGAAATTCACGCGCACACGGCGAGCTAAGTGCTGAGCAAACGGGCACGAGTAACTTTTTGCTCAGCAGATAGCTCTCGTGTGCTGCAGGCTTAGCTGCTGCAAATCAACACGGATGAATTAACTGAAGAAATATCGCGTTCAGTTGAAGAAGTAAGTCCTTTATACTGTGTTCAATTAAACAATATGTAGTGAGATGCCTTAGACTTAAAGTTTGACTTATATTTGTCGTTTAGATTGAAGGATTAAAGCAATTCCCGTTCGAATATCGACGCACGACGCAGTATTAAGTGGCTGTCTCAATAAACCATGCAGAGCGTTTCAGGTTGAAAATTAGATTTCCTTTATATTTTTACCATGAACTACCTTTGTCCTAAAAGGTATTAAACTAATTCTAGAATTTCTAAATTTTTCTTTTTTTTGAGTTATGACGAATTTTTTGTCTGGACGTCAGCGACACTTTGAAAACGGCGGTCAAATATGTGTTAAATTGTGCATCATAACCCGGAAAGTTTCGCGTCAAATTAAAAACTTTTTTCAGCGTATTGAGAAATATTCTTCTTCTTTTAGAATGTTGAAAGAATTTGAATGTACATCTTATTTTAAGCCTACTAGTCTCCATCCAAGGATGTCGGTATTTTCGTTCGCCAAACAACTAATGATTAGGTATAAAATTCAAACTAAAAATTCTCAAAAGTGCAACCTACCTGGTGTCTAAAACACTTTTAGGGTTAAAGTAGAATACTTAAAGTCATGTTATTCGCAATAAAACTTGTCGGCAAAAGGAATATGAAGGAGTGCAAAATTCATAAATTATGGCTATAAATAGCTCTATTGTTTACCTTTGTGATAACCGGAAACACGCGGAGCTTTTATAAATTTATATTAGCAATTATTATAAATATAAAACACTGTTTATAAGTTCTTATATATGAATAGAAACACCGCCTTGTAATTTTTTAAGCTTTTGGAAAGCCTTTACAATTGATCGTTTTAAAGTTGATTAAAATTACTAAATAGTTGCACGCCAACGTAATGTACAATATATTATCGTTGTTTAATATGTAGTGATGAGTGTGCCATAAATAGAATACACGCTATATTACGAAAGCAACAATATACTAAACTTTATAGTTAACTTGCTACCTGGATAGTTATTTTTCGCGTGTTAATTCTTCAACAAACAATTTAATCTCGCAAATTTAATCTTTAATCAAACGTTCGGGATTTGTCGAAAACATTTCGAGGTTGGTAAATTGTGTTACTGTAGTCTGTATGCCAAGGGGGATTACGTTTGTAGCCAATTTTTAAGTTTCTCTAATTTATAAAATAATAATAAAAAACCACGAAAATAATAGCAGAAAATAATAGCAGACGCAATGTATACAAGCTGTATTTGTTCTTCAATGCGCCATTGTTAAAACTAATTATTGGAGTATTTTTTAAACTTACTTCTTAAATAATATCAATGACAGTGTTCCTTTGTAATTTCCACACCTGTTTTGTTTAACAGAAAATTAACGCAAAGAAGTGCCGTTTTTAGATATTTCTGGAAGCTTACTAGTTTAGTTTTGATTAGGAAGAAAAGTTGTTCATTTGTTGGCGTTGGTGGAATTTCTTGTGGTGGAAGTCGTGGATTACAGGAAATTAGTTGCTTATTTGATTGTAAGGAAGATATGAGTGGTCAACTATCAAACTGTCATCTTTCTAAATCGAACTTGAGAGAGAACGAGTTAATTGCTATTCGCGCGGGAATGTTCAAACTTACCGTAGGGCGTAGACCAGTTTAAGATGATGTTTATTTGTCCGTCCCACCGTCATAATTTGGGACGATTTTGGAGGCCGCTAAGACCGTGCCAGTATTCCCTCAATTCAGGTCATGTTCGTAAGTGTACAGGAAGAGATGTTTTCAATGTGTCATTATCAAAAACAGCTTTTGCTCTTTATGGGAAATTAATTCAAATATAGGATCTCGTAAGTATTACGCTACTTTTACTTCTTCAAGTGTTGTAATTAGTACTTTAATGACGCAGGGGAAACTGGAGATAACTATCGTACTATCATGATCGCCTCGTTTTCTATTGTTCTCATAGGGAATTTAAGTCCCGTATTTTCCTCATTACGCCAATCTCGAAACCAGAGCCCGCAATCCTCTGTGGAGGCTTGCTGAGGCTCTGGGAAACACTGGTAAAAGTCGGGCTCTGATTGGTTGTTTTTTAACATCCTCGTCCCCAGGCCCAAGCGGCCCTCAAAGTTTTTCAAGTGCTAATTATTATTCAAACTTTGAGCCGTATTTAGTTATTCGGATTTCAAACATCGTTTAAAATTAATATAAAGTTTATTTCTCTTTGTGTATTATGTTTAAACATATCAATGAAACACACAGCATAACATTAATAAACTTATTAAGCTTTCCTAGTTTCTCATATGAAATCAAAAGACTATTCTATTTCTGATATTGATATGCTATAAATAACAAAATTAGAATAACAACAGTGCAGCATTACCATATTAGGTCATGATAAGCCGTTGCCTATAATATTTAAAATAATACAACAATCCATGATTTACCGTAATTAAACAAGTTAAAATAAATCACTACCAGTATCTTACAACAATTCAAACCTAAACCATGGCAAGTGTTCTTTGAAGAATTAAAGTCGTAAGAAGCTTAAACAACGGCATAATTCATGTTTGACGGCAGTAATGTTTATTTATAAATGTCGAGCGGAGTACTGGATCCAAATGTACTGATTTTCGTGCAAAAGTCGCCGGTGTTTCCCAGAGCCTCAGCAAGCCTCCACAGAGGATTGCGGGCTCTGGTTTCGAGATTGTCATTACGCATGCAACAGGGAATATTTCGCTTTGTCTACTAAATTTCCCCGGGAAATTTAGTAAAAAACAAAAGATTTCTTTGTCTACTAATCTTCCCTCATCAAAAATGCACGGGATGATTAGTAGAGAAAGAAATCCTTTGTCTTTTACTAAATTTCCTGCTTCCATATTTAATGCAAACGGAAAACCTAAAACACTCAACAATTTTATTCAACATATTAAATTTTAAATGTACACAAGTATGACTTTGCTAAACAATTAAACGTCAAACTCCAACTCAAGACCAACTGTAAAATTCATGCTATCAACGTCCGTTTATATTTATGTTGATATTTACGTGACTAGCAGTGGCTCCTTGAAGCAAACCACTTAGATTTATAAATCCTCTGAAATTCGTCTCTTTCTGCCTGAAAATCTTTAAACTGCTCGTTCCTCTCTTTAACCCACGCGTTGTACACATTTGTACTCCACGTAGTGTGCCTTATGGTATTCTTTGGCACTCTATCTTTTCGAACATTTTCAACTGTCCGGTCTGACACAAAATAGAACCTTCCAGTTGCAGCCATATTCGGAAACTAAGTTTAAAATCAATGCAGTGATTTACATAAGTCTCACAACAACAAAGCATGTCCCAAAGGTACACTTATTTCAATCAATAGTCAAACTCATAAACAACTTCATTGAAAAATACAAAATCAAACAGCTAAACTTATCTCTGCAGCAAACTTTTTTGAGTTTTCCTCGGCGATCATAATATTACAAACTAATAACATGACTAGTCGGGAAATTAGCGATTAAATTTCCCTTCGCCTCGGGAAGATTTGTGAAAGTTCGAGGACTTTCACAAATCTTCCCTCGGCGTCGGGAAATTTAATCGCTAATTTCCCTCTAGTCATGTTATTACTTATAATAAGTTTACGTGTTCTTCATGAAGGAGAATGCGTAAATTTACGTGTTCTTCATTTTGAGGCGAAAGCACAAGAGAAATGCTTGTGGACAACTTGTGAAAATGCTTGCTGTGATCGACGTATGCAATCCTATATACCACGACGCGTATGATTTATATGACATGTACAAACAGAAGAGCCTGTCTGTTTTTAAAATAACGATGCTGAAAGAAATTTGTGCGCATCTTGAACTTCAGTTCAAATCAAAGGATATAAAAACAAACTCTCATAGATAAAATATCATCCATGATTGGGCAATGCACATGTTTCCAAATAAATGACTAAATTGTGCAGGTGCGGACAAATACTCCCAGACTAACTCGAGACTAACTTGGACATGTGAGAGATGTCATTGTTCTTGGTCCGCGAGTGTGTGCAGCCCGGAGCAGTATCGTTAACCCAAATCAAGTACCAACAAGAAAATATTTCTTTAAAAAAAGAAATAATGTTTCGTTCGCGTGGTTCCAATATAATTATAGAAATACTAGACGTCTTTAATTAGCGGTTGTGACCAATAGATCACTGGTTCATTTTGTGAAGCGGGCGGGTTCTGGTAATTTTTTGCACGTTTTAGTAATTTTCATTACCTTGTAGTATTAGCATTAGTAGTAGTATTTAAAATGAGGAAAAACAAAGAAAACTATATAATAAATATATACCGCTGTTGGCGCTTTGTTTTAATAAAGAATTTTTAAAAATACTTCAAATATAAATCATCGTGCCTGTAGATTGGCGGGCAAAATTTGCTTGCAGGCAAAAAAATTCACCGCTCCGAGATTTATATATTATCTAAAAGGTTTAATAGTATAAAGATACACAAATATTTCTGGCGTCCTTGGTCCACACACACTGATTCATGAAATTAACATTTATCAACAAGGCTACGAAGCATGGGTGGACGACAATTAGGTATGTATATTTATAGTTTTTGTATAAAATCCTATGCATCTGATTTATATTCTTTGGCTCTTTGCTAAATATATGTATGCACATACTTTAAAATATTTGAAAAACATTGTGTCTTTAGATTGAGGTCGATGACGGAAATTGGCGGTTCATTTTCTGTTCACCGAACAAATCCAAGCCTATAAACTGATATTTTTATAATAAGTGGGAAAAACTGATAAAGATGCACATGGCCAAATTTGTGAAAAATGTATTTTTATATTAGTAAGGGTTTGCCTTTGGTACAAATATTAAATGTATTTATGCTTAATACGCTTAATTATATATAATTATTGTACAGCAATACAGAATTTGCATGCAAATATCAAATGTTAATACTCATGCAATTAAATAATATGAAAAATATATACTAATACAGTCGACCAAGTCCTTGCCTCTACTTAATATGGACACCTCTTAAAGTATTTATGCTTAATAGGCTTAATTACCTCGGGTCGGTACGACACCGAGGTCTTAAATTCGGCTCCTATTTTTTTTCTTGTTTTTTTTCTTGTTTTTCATTTGTGTCGAGCCGCGCGCGTAGTCGAAGATCGAAGGGCCTGCGGAGGAGACGACAACTTCCGGTAAATAAGTGTACTTCCGACAAGCATCGGCCAAAGCGAAACGGAACCCGAAGCTGTCCTTGCACAAAATCCGAAGATGTGATAATTTGATAAACCAGAAGATGTGATAATTTTGACATACATGTTTAGCTGGATAACTATTCTCGAGTATATGTTGATATAATACACAATACATCGTATGCATAGCATGGGAATGCCGCGGCCAACTTTCACTTGTTATCTATTATAATTACTGACCCGAATCAAAAGTAATTATTTTCGGCTGGAAGATTACTGTACGTTGCTGCTTGTCGGGACCGTATGACAATGAACCTATCCAACGTTACACTAGACATTTGTGAGGACATGCATATAGACATAACCATAGGCACTGTAGTGCATTGGGATAGAACAGATTTCAGTTTAATTAATCGCCCTAAATTAAAATCTCCACAAGCGGAGGTCAATTATAGTGTTCTAGTTTACATATTATCATTAATGATAAGGTTTACTCAAATAGCGTATTGGATAAACACGGGAATAGAACTTATGGTGTATTCTGCACATGCGTATATCTAGGATAAAATCCTACAAGCGCAAACGAAACTATTTCTCT